CCACTATAGGGCCCCTCTGTAAAATGGTGATAATTACAGCACCTACTCCATAGGGCTGCTGTGGTAATCAAATGAGATCATCCATGTATATGCTTTTCAAATCCTAAACGGATATACACATGTTTTAACCTCATCAAAGTATCTGAATTTCTATTTGACCTTCATTCAAAGAAGTGGGACATTCTTCACCACCACAAGTTCCCTATTAGGGAGCTAATCAGAGCCAGCTTTGCTTCAGGTCTTTCCAAACTGCTGATCTGAATCAGATTAAGCAACTTAAGAAAGATGCCCACAAACAAGCACATACAGCAGACTTGGTTAAAACCTGGGCTTATAAAATATCCTACCATAAATATCTGTAGCTTATTTTCTCTTGGTATGCTTCACTTCAGATCACTTTGAAAGATGAGGTCCAACAAAGTTAATACATTACCTAGTCGGCCAGACCAACGTTCTGTGGTTACAAGTTTATATTTGCATCCAAAATAGAGTGTTGGAGTTTTTCAAAGCTCCTAGAAGCTAATGTTATCTTTGCTTTCTTTAAAAATATAAGGACTTGGGGGCAGCTAGGAGGCACAATGGATAGAGTACCGGCCCTGGAGTCAGGAGTGCCTGAGTTCAAATCCTGCCTCAGACACTTGACACTAGCTGTGGACCCTCGGCAAGTCACCTAACCTTGATTGCCTCACAAAAAAACCCAAAAACCAAAACCAAAAAAATACATAAAAGGGTTTACATGGGTCCAGAGATCCATGACAAAATATGCCAAACACCTCTGATGGGGTGCTTCGGTGCTTGTACTCAGACCCCACTTCTAAGATCATATTTCTCCCTAACCTCGGAAACACTATCCCTGGCAGTTTCCTTACTGCCCAAAGACCCTCTCTCTGGCAGTGACTCATGAGTGGGCCCAGTGAGGCAAACTATCTCTCCCTGTTACAAGAACAAGCTGACCTCTGTAGAATTTGCCTTATACTATCTTGTAACAACAAAACTATCATATAATGATGCCCATAGTTACCATATAGGATCCATAGGTCAAGTTATATTTATTAACTCCTGAAGCTATCTTGTCACAGACATAACAGACCAAAAACACACCCCTTAGGAAACTCTCCTCCCCAGTTTCCAGTAGGGAATGACATAGTTGTATGTTATCACCTAATTAGTATACTTGCTGCATAATCCACTACTTTCCTTATATAAGCTTTAGCATCATTTCTGTTAGGTTGCAAGTTCACTAAGGACCTCTGCCCACTGTATAGTGCAACAGTAAATCTTTGCCACCTTGACTTTAAGAACACTTGAGTCTGTGAATTCATTCCAGACCACCCCATCCTATACTCTGGTCCCTGAGGGGTCTCAGCCTCTCAGATCTCAACACCTCCTGACAGAAAGCTAATGTACTCAAGCTTCAGATTGAGTTATATACTTTTCAAACATGACCAATGCAAGAATGCTTTTCTTTTCTACGCATATTTGTTAGAAAGGTCTTGTTCTTGTTTTTCAATGTGAGAAGGGGAGGAAATGGATTTTTCTTTTACTTAAAAAAATAAAATTAATTTTAAAATATACATATATGTGTGTTTGGGGAGAGAAAAACAGCTGCTGGCCTTTAATAACAGAGTACTTAAACATATACCAGGTCATTTGGTTAGTGTAACTTTCTTGGGGTGGGGGTGATAGAGGGTTGATGTACAAAGAGTTTGAACTAGAGACCTAAATCAAGACACAATTCGAAACCCTTTCAGCTAAAGTCCCAATCACAGAAGGAACCTTAGCAATCATTGTATCCAAGGGCTTCATTTTACAAGTGAGGAAAGTGTTACCCAGAAGTAACAGAACTTGGTCGAGGATACACTACTGAGGGGCAGCTAGGTTGCACAGTGGATAGAGCACAGGCCCTGGTTTCAGGAGGAGCCGAGTTCAAATCTGGCCTCAGACACATAACACTTACTAGTTGTATGGCCCTGGGCAAGTCACTTAACCCCATTGCCTAGCCAAAAAATAAAAGATACACTAGTGTAATCAGTACCAAATCTAGCCCTAAAACCCCAGTGTTCTGACTCTCAGGTTAAATTTTCTCTCCACTACAAAGTGTTACAATGGCTATTCCTGAAAAGAAAATCAGTGGCATGGTATTTCTGAATGCCTTTCTTTGCCAGTCAAGTGAACCAGCATTTAAATGCTTACTCTGTGCCAGGCACTGCATTAAATACTAGAGATAGAAAGAAAGGTAAAAATAAAAAGAGCTCACATGTGAATGGGGGAGACAAAGTTCAAACAACTATGTACAGACATGACCTGTAAGGGATAAATTGAAGGTAATCTCAAAGGAAAAAAGTACTGGCATTGAGAGAGACCTGGAAAGCCTTCTTCTATTAGGGGGGGGATTTCAGCTGAGTATTGCAGTAAGCCAGTGGGCAGAGGTTAGGAAGGACAGCACTCAGGGAAGTGAAAAAAATGCAGTGTCTTGGGGGAGAAACAGAAAAGAGGCCAGTGTCACTAGTAAATGGGAGTATGGTGTAAGAAGACTGGAAAGGTAGGAAAGGGTCGGCCAAATAGGATTTTATATTCACTCCTGGAGGTAAGAGGAAGCCACTGGAGAAGGGAACATACACAGTCAGACTTGAGCTTTAGGAAGATCTCTTTGACAGCTGAGTGGGGAGACCCACCCAAGGCTACTGCAACACTCCTAGGCATATGGTGATAAGGGCCTGGACAGGGATGGTGACCATATCAGCCGAGAGGAGAGAAATATGAGATGTTACAAAGGTAGAATCGATGGGACTTGGCAACCAAGTGGACATGGAGGGTGAGTGAGGATAACACCCAGGTTGTAAGCCCAGGAGGACTGTCCTAAGATTGGGAGGATGGTGATACCTTCAATAGTAGCAGGGGAGTTTGGAAGGGAGGGTTTTGGAGGAAAGATAATGAGCTCAGTTTAGGCAATGTTGCTTTTGGACTTCTGACCAGCAAGATACAGACTTCGACATTTCTCTGATCCCCTGACCTCACAAACCTCTCCAAAATAGAAATTATGTGCCAAAGATAAAGCAACTTCAGCTGTCTCCATGATTTAGGACACCCAGAATCCAAAATACTTTTTTAAAAACCAAACAAACCATGAGCTGACTTTATATTGAGCTTATTGAGTACCCTTCCCCAACATCCCATACAACTGGCATCAAGACTACACTTAGCCTGTCCAAGGATCCAACTGATGGGCTCTCAATAAAACCCAAACCCACACCCCAGTCCATCTCCCCTCTCTCTAGCGCTGGGGAGATCTCTAGCTCTGGGTTTTGGAAGTTTGCTCAGGCCTCAAAAGACAGCCAGCACTGCTACAGCTCCATGGGTAGACACTTGCTAAAGTGGGGGTGGGGATGAATGCGGAGGTGGTTGGGGAGAGGTCTGTGTTGCAAAAGATCTCTGCAGGAATGCCAGGAATAGAGGACAAGGGGCAGGACTTCTGTCTGGTCTTGAAATAAGAGTTCAACACCACCTCTCATCCCACCTTTCTCACAGAGCCCTGGTGACCCCCAAACTAAAGAAATCAACCCATTGCACCAACGTGGCAACTCTCTGGCCTGCTGGTACTAGGCCATAAAATAGCAACAGAGGGAGCAGGCGCAACAGAGGGAGCAGGCCAGTGAAGTACACCCCACTATGGGGGGGTGGGGGAGGGGCAGCAAGGGAGGGCTGTACACCATTCCACTAAGCCTGAGACAAAGAGTTTAGTTAGCATCTAGCTGAAGCCAGGCCAGTCCCCCGAAAAGTCAGTTGGGGCAGAGACCTAGGCTGGTGAACCGTAAATTACCCAGTGTGGAAGGAGGCTGAGAAACATAGGATTCACCCCCCAAGGAAAAAAAACCACCATCAGAGGGGAGGGAATCAGACAGTGAACAACAGGGAAAAATAAGGCGGGGCCTAGAAATCTGAAGGAAGAAACAAACTCAAAGGACCTTGAACATAAGCAGATAAATCAATACACAGGGAAAATATAGCAGCAGAAAGAAATATGGCCTCCAGATCTAGTAAACAAGTCAGTTTGGGAAATGCTGAGTTTAAGATGTACAAAAGACATTTGGAGATGCTAAACTAGAGGTCAGGAGAAAGGGCAGATCTCAGAATTATTCGCATATAATTGAATACATGGGAGCTGATCTCACCTTGATACTTGGGAAATCTAAAAGAAAGGTATCAGTTCAAATATCCCTATGTTTTTAAAGAAACATAGGCCATCTAAGTAATCTACTTTTGTTCCTCCAAATCTTAAGACAAGCAAAGATAATTAATATTATTTGTAGCTAGTGAAAATGTGAAATCTATGACACAGAATTACATTTTTTTTTGTTACATGCACACTTTATAGTACTGTAGAGCCCCTTGTATACATAAAGAAAATACATATTAAACCACCTATTACTCTGTTGCAGAACACTTTGCTAGGTGTTGGGGGGGACAGAAAATTTAGATAAATCATACACTTTACCTTAGAACTCAGAAGGCTAAGAAAACATAACTATAATAAAAAATGGAAGTATGCAATAAACTTAGAATCATTTTTATAGGACTCTGACTAAAGGAGAAAGAACACTGGTCTCGGGGATTGGAACTAGGCCTTAGTCCCAGCTTTGCCTCCAACTAGCTAGTATGACTGGGTCAGTTGCTGCATGTTCCCAGGCCTCTGTTTATTTAGGAATAAAATGGGTGAACTAGATGGTCTCTAAGCTTTACAACCATAAAATTCTATGAACAGAATATAATGTTACTCTTAATTTATTATAGCATGTAGTTATTTTACCTTTGCTTTTATGACACATTGTTGGCCTTATCTATGATTTATTTGATGCCAGGCACACAACCACCAGTTATAATACGGTTTACAACATAGTTTCCATGAACACAACGTGATAAAATGCAGAGCCTGCTCATAAGTAAACTTCAAGGGCAATTTCAGTTTGGGAGACACAATTAGTAATCAGAACCAGAGAGACTTTACAATGCAAAAATGCAATGTTTATTTTCTTAAATAAAATATTATATTCATATCTATACAAATAATTATTACAACCATTAAAGTGTTACATTTAACAATAAAAATTTCAAAACTTTAAACAAGAGCATGGTTTAGAATATTCACACCCTAATGCAATGTATCTATAAAAAGATGTCAAAATAAACAGGACACAATCTTATTTACAACTGTATGATGTTCCTGATCATATGATACATTTCTGTTCTGAATTCCATTACAAAAAGGAAACTAGAATTTCCATCAGAATTATAAACCAGGTAATTTACAGTTATAGGACACGTTGCACAGCAGATCCTGCTGGCTTAGTATAGATACAAATAATTACACTATTGAAAGAAATGCATTTAATTTCTCTTGGTGACTGCCACGTATTAATCTTCTCAGGCAGCATATGTAAAAATCTGTGAAGGTAACTGTTATTTCTACCTCACTGTCCTCCACCCTGTTACCAAAGTGAAACATCTTATGTGCGAAAAGTGGAAGCCAAGCCATTCTCCTTCACACTAAAACAGCAGCAGCATCTTAAACAACACTGTATGGTCCCATCCTACTTGGAAAAGAAGTAATTCAACTTCCCCTAAAGACAATTCACCATAGCACAGTCCAGTGCCTTAATGACCCCACATATGAAAAATGACTTCTAAGACTTGAGGAAACAATGGGATCTTCAAAAGCCAAATAGCGAAAACTTCAAGTTTCTAGGACACAGTCAAAAAGTGTCCAGTTGTACAGAACAAAAGGATCTACAAAATAAAGGCCACCTGTTTTGGAGTATGTGTGAAAAATGTAAATGGAGATACACCCTCCAAATTCTCCATTTGTAGGATCACATCATTTACAATGATACATTACATGTTATGCAGTAATCCAAAAATGACATTTCCATATTTTAAAATTCATTTTTAAAAAAAAGGTTGAGTCGTTGGATAAGATGTGTCTGACCACTCCTACCTTCTTTACACAGGGTCTATGGGCCACAGAAAGAGAAAGATCAATGTTGATGGGTTTCACTTAAACCTAGAGTCAATAATCTGAAATGCCATCACAAACAAGCTCTCAGTTTAAAGTTTTGCTACCATTAACTGTTTCTGACAAGATCAGTATCAAAGATGGCTCAGTAAGATAAGGCAACAGTGAGAAACAAGAGCTGGACTTCTGAGGGAAAAGCATTCAGTGATATGGTAGATACCACTCTGGCTGTTCCTTTGCTTTTTTTTTTTTTAACGATTGGGTGGGTGATATGTTCTAACAATAGGTCTAAGGACCAGAGGCACAGTTTCAGTTAAAGTGCAGTACTGTCGCAGGAGGAAGTGTGCAGAATTAGACATTGTATCCTTGGGAAGATCTTCACTTTCTGTAAATTTTACTGGATTGGCTTAGGCTAAGCTTGGAATCACCTGCAAATAAACACCAGTATTCTTTCAGGGTCCACATAAGAAGTTTAGAAGACAGAAAGGAAGGTACCCAAAAAGTAAAGTGGTATTTTAATTTTGGAACAGGAAAGAGAAAGCAACATTCAGCAAAACAGACATCTTCGGGGGGGCTGTAACCTTTATTTCTGATGGATGTCATGAGACCCATCGGAGATATTGACTCCAGTAGTCTCAACTGGCCATTGGATGTCACTGTTGCCCTCTGGAGGGTACAGAGCCCTAAGTGCATTTCAACTGGGGGCAAAGATCTACATGTGTTGTAAATTAATAAACTGGAAAAGAAATTCCCAACCTTTTGGAGTTGCACTCAAAAGTTCCTGTTGAATTTGTGGCCTCACTTCCCCACTTTTCTTATCCCTTCCTCTGCCTGCCCAATTCCACCACCTCTAAAACAAATCTAGTGCAAGATAACACTTTAAAAAAAATTAAAACAATTTTAATTTGGTTTTGAGAATTCCTTGACAGCCCTTTGAAATAACTGTAGACAAGCTGGGTCAATAAAACCAGGGATTGGGGATCACTGATCTAGGAATATAGCACACCACCTTCTACTCAGGCCAATGGTCTTTTCATGGCAAAGGAAATTTTCATTCTACTACAAGAATGCCTAGGCTGACTGACTGCCATCCACTTGACATGGAGTGACAAAACAAAAAAAAAGTATGTGTACTCATGTGTCAAGACAGAAAGGGCAAAGATGAGCAAAAACATTTTTAGAGTTTCTATTTTCGCCAATGTTTTAAACTGCACTCAAAATCCATTATATTATCACATTTTTAAAGTTGGGTTCTAGTCTCACCCACTTTATAGAAACAGCTAAGAAGGCATAAGCAAGTAGTTAAAATATTAAAGACAAATAGTAATTCCCTTAAGATGCATAAATGTTTTGTATATTCAAGTAAGATGACTTAAATGGTTCATTTTGGTTCCAGTTCAGCATAAGCACTGTGACATGACTGAGATTTGTTGGCAAAGGAATGTTCTGCCTTTCCCCAACCCCAGCTTCCAATTCTCCTTTTTTCACAGTTCATGCATGTTACATTTTACAAAGCAAATCCATCACTGACTTGTCACTCATTATTTTGAAAAATAGGGACAGGTCTCATTCTTCCAAAACACCCAACAAAAAAGAAAAGAGACTCACTGAAAAAGCATAATCATCATGAAAGAGCATCTTTCCTCCACCTCTATTAACTTGTTGTGTGACAAAGTCAATGATGGTATCAAACATGAATATTTTCATCTTGGACAATTACATAAAAATTACACACAAACAGAAATCTGAATCTTCCATTTCATTAAATGACAGTGCTATACTTAAAGAGAAATGAAATGTTTCAATGTTACTTTTTCCATAACCAATTCTAAACCAATATTGGACACACACACACACACACACACACACACACAAATCCACTAATTAAAAGATAGTCATTGATTCTCCCTGGACAACTACACTGACTTGGAGTTAGTTAACCATGAACAATCAGGAGATTATAAAATCATCTCCAGAACTGGCTTCAATCTCCAACCCTGAATTAGCAAATCAATTGTGAGCTTAAATTTCTTCCACAAAAATAACCCATTCCTCATATTTCTTTACCCAAAAACTTTAGTAGATGATTAGCTAATACCAGATCACTCATTATTATAGAATCAATTGCCAAGATTTGTATATCACATATTTAATACTGTTAGGATATCACCATAGGCACTGATGTTTTCAAATCCAAATAAGAGCATGTACATTGATACATAAGGTAAATACACAATTTACTTTTATATTTGAGGCCTCATTTGGAATGTTCCCCTTAGTAATGAGATATATGTAAGCACATAAATATAACAGCCCATAGCAAGGAAAATCCCTCCCCTCCATTCATAGCCATACCTTCTTTGACACAGTAGGAGAAAGGATGGGCCTTGACAAAATAGAGTATCATTTAGGGTCATTCTAAAATCAAAACGTCTACATATCTAAAGGTAAGTATAATGCAAATGAATAACTATCTCTAGTTAGACCTGAGCAGAATAAAGCAGTAAGTTCATTAGAAGGTACTTGGGAAACATTTGGGTTTTGAGGACTTTTCAGAAAAAGGCAGCTTAACTAGTTCCTACTTAAGCTTGTCTATTCTGCTTAGCTACCAGGCTTTGAATGGTCACAAATGGTTCTACAGAAGTGCATATTCATGTGTGGTCTATATTTCCAAACCTGCTCACTTTCTAACTGGCAAATGAGAGCTGATACAAGTTTGATTTTGTAGATTAAAATCTGAAAATGAGCTCGGAAACATGTCTTGCCCTCCCTCCTGCTATGATTTACTATATTCACCACCTACCCACTGTCCCTTAAATAATTTGTAAATACTCCATCCCTAAATTATGAGGAAAATACAGAATTGAGGGGATGGAAAATAATATCTTGCATTTATATAAGTTTACAAAAAGCTTCACAAACATTGTCTCATTTAATCTTCACAACTACAACCTCCCCCATGCCCAGGAGGCTGCTTTCCTGGGCCGCAAAGCAATTGAATTTGGCCAGAGCAGCTAAAGAGGCACAAATGACCCTACTGATGAAAGAGTCTTTAGAAGAGGTATTAACAGGAGTAAACTGCCCTGACCAAATATTTAGAGATTCTACCACTGGGGGGAAAATTATGCTGTAGAAGCTGTGGTCCTTTGAGTTCACCCCATTAGCACAGCAGTAGGAATAATTAACACAAGCCACTCACCATCACCAACTCACTTTGTTGTGGCAGTAAAATACCTACTAAAAAGGCCAGGGAAATTATGAGTGAACATGGTCATTTCCCTGTTAACTAACTATATAAAATTAGGTTTCTGAAATAGACATTTCTTTATCCAATAACCTTTTTAAAAAGCTTTCTCTCACCCCTTTAGCAGGTTCCACCTACAGATTTGTATGAAGGCAGACCTGTCAATGAGCCAGTTTCTGTATATAGGCCTGTGTATGTATATGTGTATATATTTTCCTCCCAAATATAAAGATTATGGTCTTTCCAAATGAGGATTAAGCTCCTTAATATCCACAGCAGGGAAGAATAGTTAGAAAATTCCTATAAGTGAATTCTGTATAGTTCCACTGTGAAGTACATCTTTTTTTTAGACAAATCAGTAAGGATAGGGGTAGGCAATGAACCAATAGAACTAGTTGGACCCATGATTTTAATCATATAAGGTACTAATAGATGAGGTAACTTCCTCTTCTGATGCAGATCAGTAATTTTCAACAACTTCAACAACTCATAGTCTTAAGAGAATTGACTAGAGCATTGAGAGGTTAAGTGACTTGCACACAGTATGTGTTAGAGGCAAGACCTGAATCCAGGTCCTCCTATCTTCAAGGCTGGCTCTCTATTTATTATGTAATGTGAAAATATTTCTCCACTGAAAAATGAAAAACTCAATCTTGTGAAATTCAACATATTATCATTAACAAGAACTAATGATGAACAAATACAAAGGAAATTAGTTTAAATAGAATGGGCCTAATTAATCAAGCATTTACGGGATATTTATGCCTTTACAGAATAGCTCTACTTTCCAAAAAGGAGGAAGAACAATTAGCAAATTCAAACATGGATTTTTTTAAAATCTATCCAGGAAAGTTAATGGGCCTTAAGTTTCCTCTTGTGTGAATGAGGGGGTTGGTTTAGATGATCTATAAGGTTTCTTCTAGCTCTAAGTCTATCCTATTGGTGAGGCTAATAATACCTAAATAAACACTTTTGACTTCTGGATTAAACGTATTAAAAAAGTGTCTACTGAAATTGGCTCCCTGTTTTGAAATGCAAGACTTATGAAATTCAAATGATTTTTAATTTACTGGAGCTTTATAAATCAAGGCAAAAACCTTTTCTTAAGCAAGCCAATTACTGGGGGAATAGAGGGAGGAAGGAATTAAATAAACACAACTCACTGTTCTGCTTTCATCATGGACATTAGCCAGAATTTGGTCACTAGCCATAATGTTTTTACTATCTATGGATTATCTATAAAAATAGGTTTTAACACTGGGCTCCCTCTTGCTTACCACCCAATACAAGGCTAGCCTATGTCTAACACCAGTTGATTTCTACCCAAGAAATACAAAGCACCCTAAATGAAACTTGGGAAATTCACTAGGGGAAAAGTCATAGTGCATTTCAAAATTAAGTGTAATTTCTTTCAGTAAGCCACTTTTCTTTTTTGGATTATCTCTGCTGTTGCTTCCCTATTGTGGATAACAGAAAATGGACTATACAAACATGCAAACATGAAATATACATATATATATACATATACACAAATATATAATCTCACCCATCACATTTAGTTTCTATCAGTGTTTAGACTGCTGAACTGCAATCATGACCTAGAATATGGCTTATGTTGTGGGCAGGTCTGTTTGAGGTCTGCTTGGAAGAGTCAGACGTTGAGGAATTTGCTATTGTAAGCAAAGGAGACATTGCTGAGCCATCAGGAAGAGCAGTGGCTATCTCTGGAAACAAAGATGTCATGTTAAAATTGGACAAGTGAGAGTTGGTCATATGCATTGGTGGCATATCAGGGAGAAGAGGAAAACTTGGTTGAGCAAATCCAACAGGCCTGGGAGGAGATAATATTGTTCCAAATCGGTTATTTAAACCTCCACTGTTTACCTTTTCTGTGCTAGGATTTGGGAACATCTGATTGGAAAAATAAGGGATTGAAATATCATTGGACAGTGTAGGGTGAGCAGGGGAATAAGGTGGATAGAAGGAAGGCAATGTATTCTGGGGATCTACTGGGATGAGTGCTGGGGTCCTAGTGGCACTGGGCTGAGTAACCTGTGGAATGAAAGAAGTATTGCCATTTATTGGTGGATTCATACCACCCTCTGGAATAAATGGGAATCCAAAATTTTGGGACAAAGTGTGTTGGTCTGGGGCTGTACTATCATTAGACACCTGTGGACTATCAGGCATAAAACGAACAATACTGCCTCTCTTCTCTGTAGAGGACTGCTGACGTCCAATAATCATACTGCCACTGGTAGACAGAGGGAGATGGGGAAGACTAGGATCAAAGACATTGTTATGTCTTTGGTTTCCAGAACGATTCCTTTCAGGCTGACGGATTTTGGAGCCACCACTGCTGTCCTGTAGGGGATGTCTTGATCGCTGGGTAACTGAAGAATTAGGCTGACGAACTGAAGGAGGTCCTTGATCAGCACTCCCATGAGATACAGCTGGATGAGGCAGAGTTGGCCGTGCTACCCCATGAATATTAGTAGTAACTGGGGGGTTCATGTGGCCCTTGGTTCCATGACTTTCAGTCATTCTCATGGGATTAGACTTTTGTACAGAAACATTGGGGCTTGTGTTTCGACCCTGAATATCCCCTGAGGAAGAAGAGCTAGAAAAAGGGATATTCAAAGTACTGTTCCTGGTGTTAATAGCACCCAAAGACATGTCACAGCTTTCTCTATTCTGAGTCTCACTCTCTCTTCGAATATGGATGCTCTCATGGGCTGGGGGACAGTTATATTCAATTGCAGAAGATGGGCCACACTGTGTATTCCTCTGATGTTCTGAGATTGATCGTTGGCTTCCAATGACTTGATCACCAAGGTGAGGGGCAAGCAAACTCTGCATGAAACTCTGATGACATGCATTTTCATTGTCTCTTGGGGGAATGGCATTTCCAGCTGGAAGGCTCTGAACTGGTGGATAAGGTAATCTTTTTTGCCGGTCAATAGGTGGACCACTATTTTGACTAATTCGAAAGGCCTGTGATTGCATGCCTCTCAGTGATGACACAGGGTTACCTATTTCATTGTTTCTTGAGGACTGTACTTCAAAATTGCTCTGGGGCTGTTGGCTAGCTCCACTTGGCTTAAATGTCTGACAGTCAGAAAGACGAACATCTGAGGTAATAGTATGATCTACACGACTCTGCATATTATGAATAGCTAAACCTTTATTTCTTGGAACATCAAGGTAACTTCTCATTTCCAGTTGATCTGAAACCCTAGGGCCCTGAATTGATATGCCCATTCTCTGCTCTGAATTAGATGATGTTTTCCCAATGAGTGCCTCTGCAGAATAACTTGAAACTCTATTTCTTTCTGGCCTGTGTGGAGTGCAGGTCATATCGGAAGACCTAGTTACTATACTTGGCTGGGATACCATTTGTTGCTCTAAACCTCTAGGTGGCATAAGTCTTTGCATTGGATTGTGTGCAGTCACATGCTCAGAAGAAACTCCTGAACCTTGCTGTCTACTTCCAACATCCTGCTGTTGGTGCATAATATCTTGATTTAGATGGTTCTGGGGGTGGTTATGGTGGGTCCGGCTTGTTGAAGGGTTCTCACAGCTTTTTTCTGATTGGGAACCTCCAAAATGCTGTTGCATCTGTTGCTGCATCTGCTGATGGTGGGGGTGAGGTTGCCCACCTTTGGGTCGTGACTGGTCACTTCCATGATGCTTCTGCTGTATGGAAAGTTGAGGGGCTTGAGCTCCCTGGACAAGATTCCTCTTCTTTTGCATTTGAACTTCCTGCTGAATAGTCCTTTGCTGATGTACACTGTGGGGCTGTGAATGAATAGAGCTGTCTGCATGAGGTACATGATGCTGCAGTTGATATAAGTGATGTCTCTCTCTTAATTGTCCTGCTTGCTGTTGCTGCTTTAAGTATGGATGGTTATTATGAAGGTGAGATATGCCTTGAGCAGGAGGTACATGCTGCTGCAAAGGCTGCAGATGTTGACTTCCTGCCTGGCTTTGTTGCTGCTCAGTCATTGCAGGCTGTGAATTACACTGAACTTCAGGTTGTCTCAAAGCAGGTGTCACAAAGTTGTTGCTGGGTGGGAATAACTGAGAAAGGTCATCCACATGCCCTGGGTTGCTAACAGGTACCACTGAGTTGGAAGAGTTAGGAGGGATCTGACCAACCATCATTTGAGTTTGATCAGCAATGCTGTCAGGTGTCCGGCTCATCAAGGACATATTTTCGAGTCTGAGGGGTGCTGGCTGACAATGTTTTTGCCTTTTGGCTGTAGAAAGTAAAAGATCATCTTGAACAGGACGCTTGGCAGGATCTTTACGACTTTCATGACTTGACTTTAAGTGTGATTCTTGAATTTGTGAATTTGGTATGTTATTAGTCATGGTATTTAGCTGGTCTTGGGAATATTCAGTCATTAGCGATGGTTCAGGAGGTTGACTGGCATAGGAACTAGACGAAACTGATAGATTCCCTGTTGCAGGAATAGCTGGTTGCTCTGAGCAGCTTACTAGGGGATGGCTGATGCTGCTCTGATGGATAAGATTATTAACACTTAAACTGGAAATGCTTGGTGACTGAGAAGTTGAAACCTGTATAGAGGTATTTGATGTTTCAGCTGATACTGAACAACTTGGTTTTTCAAGAGACCTATCCACATTTCCTTGAACTGGGTCCTGGGAACTAAATTCATTTGCTGTTGCTTCTACCTGTCCTGTGGTACTCTCTTTTGCTGTCTGGGTTTTGAAAGACTGGTCTCCCTCTAAAGATGAAGTTTCAGATGGCTTTGGAGTTGTTTCCTGGATATCAGCCTGGACACCAACTCTTCCTTTCTCAAGATTCTCTTGATCAAAAATAGCTCTTGCTGCAAGTGCTACTATATCAGTTTGTTCTGCAAAGGTACAGCTGTCACATGTATTAGCTGATGTACTGTTGGTGACATCTTCTCTAGTGGTATCAGGAAGCATGGAAGCAACTGAGAAACCACGACTACTACCAGAGCTCGTTGACATGGGGGAATCTGTCTGCCTGCTGGCAAGCAAAGAACTATTAATGGCCTCTTGATCAGGAATACAGGAATGATGCTGTGGTAAATTCCCACTTTCACCATTTATTAGTAATAGCTCCTGTTTCTGAGGCAAATCAATACTAGATCCAACAATTTTTGAGTTCTCTAAAGAAAAGTTAGGATGGTCCACTTGCGCTGAAAGAGGGGTTTTCTGACCCTCTTTTTCTTTAGTAAGGTCAGAGAGCAATGCAGTTAAACCATGTCCCTTTAATAAACTCGTGGCTTGCACTGCAGCTGATGAATCTTGTCTGCATGGCTCAGCCATAATTTCCACCTCTGAAGCACCACTGGTACTTGCCATGCTTTGGGTTGATGAGGACTCAGGAACCTGAGAAACCAAAATATGTGGATCATTTGGAGAGGGAATTAAGATACTAGATGAATTGCAGGACTTGGAAGAGTCTGACAACTCGGGACTAGTGGTTGGCTTACTGTGAGATCTCCCTGATTGCAAAGTGGACACAGAATCTCTGGAATCAGGTGGAGCCAATACAAAATGTTCACTTGTTATGGGTTCCTGGGAGGGTGAATGGGACACCTCTAATGAATCAGATTCTGAGACTACAGGCTCAGGATTTACACCCTCAAAGGAATGCGAATCAGAAACAGTCACACTATTTGCTTGAGATTCAACAGCAGGAGTTAACACCACAGGTAGGCTTTCTAGCAGCCCATCAGCACATGACTGCTGAGCCGATCCTTCTGTGTTGGCACAATCTAATTTCCCCAAATCCCTAACAGGATTCACTGGGCATGCTGATTTATTAGCTACGTGTTTTTTGGTGCCTGGCTTCTTATTCATTCTTTTTGATTTCACATTAGAAGGCAAACTAGCTAGAGCTTTCACTGGAGAAGTGTTCATTTGATTAGCAGTATTGGGTAGTACTGTTGTGTTATCAGTAGTTAAAAGCGATGCTGCAGTAGTTGGTAATGAAACACAGTTAACTGGGGTGATCCTACTATTAGTAGCAGGTGGAGGATTGGCAGGCTGGCTGATAGCCAGCTGTACACAGCTTTGCCCAGCCATCTGCGAAATGCTTTGATTGAGGCTGGCCAAAGCACCAAATGTATTCAGGGCAACGTTGGTATTTGGATCTTCGCTGGTGGTGGGTTGAATAATTTGCATAGGGGTTTGATTTGTAGCTCCTGATGAGGACATTACAGGCTGCAAAGCAAATAACTGTCCATTTAAAGAAATAGTTTGAGGCTGCTGTTGGTTTGACATTGTAACAGAAAAAGTTTGTGTAGAATTAGATGATGATGATGATGAAGGCCTCGGTAATATATGGACGAGGTGTTTTCCTCCAAATGTTTGTGGAGCCAAAACATTTTGCCCTGAATTATTAGACACTACTACAGGATTGGCTCCATTAACAGAGACACGAACAGAACCAGGAGGTGGAGCGGAGAGGAGCGGCAAAGGATTCTGATTAGCTGCCTGTATAATCACTATCTGTTGACCAACTGTTTGATTGGGAACTTCTGCTCTCATAACTCCTGGGCATGGTGTAGTATTAGGTGGCTGAAGAATGATAACATTTTGATTAGCTGGACCTGCATTAACAGCTGACCCAACAGGCTGAGCCATCTGAATTACTTGCATTGTTGAATTAAATGGAAGGATATTTGGGGGAGGCTGAGTTTTAATTGGTGGTTGAGCAATTAGTGGCTGCATAGGTAAAGATGGACAAGAAGGCAAAGTCACAACTACTTGCTCAACCTGCTGCCCATCTGTAGGAAATGAGCCATTCAAGCCATTCAAGACACATGTAGCCATGTGTCTATTGTGGTTGGTAGCTGAGGTACCAGTGCCCAGCTCGTTTAGTATTGGGGTCACAACAGTAGATGGCGTCTGGCTTAAAGGCTGAACAGTGTTTCCTGCCAATTGCAATGTAGTCCATGTTGTTTGTGTGTTTCCAGATGAGGGGATGCGAGTAAGGCTGCTTATGTTTTTCAAATCAGAAGCACTAACACTTGAAGAAGGCAAAGAGCAAGAAAGAGACCAACCACTGTCTAAATGGCTTGCAGAGACTGTGCTTATAGCAGTTGCAGCCTTGACTGCTAAAGCTACTGAAGGTGTCTCTACACCAGCACTGCTTGTTAAGTCTGCGTTCTTACTAATGTTCACTGGAGAGGAATTCCTAGGGACCGAAGGTCTCAGAGATTGGGAGCAAGCTGTATCAGCAACTGGTGCCACAAAGTTGTCCTGACCATCACTTCTAAAATCCTGCAAGCTTAGACAGGATTTGTTTCCATGTTGCACTTGAAAGGAAAGTACAGAAGTGCTGGGGGGAATGCTGGTAGCACAGGACATAGGTCTCTTGGCTAACTTGGGGCTCTCTTGTCCATTTTTGCTTTCAGAAGCATTCTGACCACTTAGTGGCATATTTGACGAACTCTGTTGGTGGGGTTCAGACCCAGATGGAACGGTAATCTGTGAGCTGTTAGAACTAAGTACACTTGACTCACTTTCTGAGGTGGAAATTTCAAGAATGTTCTGAGCAGGAATGGTAGCAGGAAGACAAAGAGGAACAGACTGGCTAGCAGCCAAGGAGGAAACTGTTGTCTGATGCCATGGCTTATTTTCAGGGGTATAAACTCCAGAAATGGACACAGGAGTCACCAGATTGCAAGTCCTTTGTACAGGCACAACATTGGCTGTCTGCTTTTGTAAATTATGACCAACATTAAATGTAATTCCCTGAACAGCCGTCCCTTGGTTGTTTCCACCAGGCTGACTTCCATTTGAATAGACGATGATGTTCTTCTGAATCTGGTCGCTAGGAATAACAACAGAGACTTTTGCATTTTTGAGATTTCCTTTCCAGTGGATTGTAGGGTCATCGTACAGGCAAATGTCATTTGCTTTCAGTAATTCAATGTATCGGCCATTTTCCCTTTGGGTTTCTTCCAGCTGTTTCCGCAGTTTTTTAATTTCTTCAGCTGCAAAATTTAAAAAAAAATTATAAGAATAAGTCATGAATGTCAACTTAAGATAATCTTAGGAACACAAAAATATAATTTAGTGAAATTGCCAATGTGAATTGGTCTAAATTCCTCACTACAGTACTGGGAATGTTAAGTTCTCTTCTAACACAAGTTAGTGTGCTGGACCTGGCAGCAGAGGACTAGGATTCAGAATCAGCTTCTGCCACTTATTATTTGTTTGACCTTTGACAAGTCATATAACCTCCAGGAGACTCTGTTTCTTCACCTACATAAAACAAGATGAGCTTCTAAGGTTCCTTCCAGCCCTAAATCTATGCTCCTATGATCTTATCATGGGCTAAACAAATAATAAGTCATTTGCCACTTCAGGAATATGCCTATTTCCCGTAGTCAACATCTTTAAAGTTTAATTCTTGACAAGAAAATAATTCGCTACAGTTTAAAAGGTTACCATTGCAGCTTCATTTGCTCTGAGTTAAAATCTTTCCCTAACACTTCACAGCTGTATGACCAGGAGCAAGTCATTTGACCTTTCTGAATTTCAATATCTTCATCTGGAAATGAAGCCTTTACATACTGTAGAAGAGGGCAGGTAGAGCCTGAGCTCTGCTGGTACCGCCTCTGAAAACTGCTGGTCACTTCCACACCATCATGAGGCATCAGCTATTTCTGTCCCTACCAGTAATGTGAGGAGACATGAGTGGGCATAGCTATAATAATTGATAACTGATCATAATAACTGATCCTGGCTTCAACTTAAACTAAGCAGAAATCTGCCCTACAACCTTTTCATGTTGCCCTCACTGGAAGACACAACCATAAGAAAAAGAAGTGAGTATTCCTAGTATCACTACTTAATAAAATTTGCAGGAAACTTGAGAATATTCACTACTTATCTGATTATATAAAAATGATGGAACAGTGAAATTATGGGTGAGTAGATATATGTTTACCTTGTTCATGGTTTCCTCCATTGAGTAAGAGCTCATCATTTTGCCTTTTTAATTCTGTTATGTACTTAAAGGCTTGATCCAGGATCATATTCTTGCTCTGCCAGAGAAACCCAAATTTTAAAAAATTTCATTAAATGGTAAGAAACAGTCACAAAATCCTAAAAGTAGGCTTACATTTGTTCTCAACAAGAATATCTGAAAATTTGGTCTATATGTAACTTTAAAACAATGCCATCCTCAAACACATTTCATGTTATTATATCTGTGTAGCCACCATTATAAACGTATTATCTGATACAGTAAAAAAAAGTTTCACTGAAGAGTTTTAGTGTCATACCCCAACATTCTCTATGCCTAGACTAATTCAGGACAATTGTATTTTAAACCAAAATGTCTTGAAGTGTTGAGATATTCTGATAAACATTAATTATGTTTCAATACGCCAATGCCACTACAAAAACCTCTCAATAAGGATAGAGACTACATCTTGTTTCATCTTTAGCACAATATACAGTACATAGTAGGCAATTCATGTGTATTAAAGACATCACAATGTGGTGGAGAGAGCAGCGAGCAGCATCAGAAAACTTAGTCTCTAGTCCTGGCTCAGCTTCTTCCCAGCTAAGTGAATTCGGCAAATCATCTAGCTTCTCTGAGCTCCAATTTCATTATTTGTTAAAAAAAAAAAAAGACAGTAATATTTGTACTATAGTCTCAGTGAAGTTTTTAGTTTTTTAAACTTAAAAGCTTTTAGTTAAATACTATTTAAACTATTAAGCTTAAAGCTGTACCAAGACTTTTGTGATACCCTGTATTATTTATTTCAAAGTGATTGTGATGATCTAATGAGATAATGTATTAATTGTTACATAAGTGCAAAGTACTTTCCTATGCCCTGGCTCACCTAAAGCTGAATCTTGGATTTTAGCAACACAGTAAGTACTTCCAGGCAAAGAGGGATTTTTCTTGACTCAAGCTAAGTCCACCAAATTTTTAATAATTAGCCCTAGCAGAGACTTGCTATATGATCCTAAGCAATATCCTTTTACTGTAAGATGGGGAAAATCATGCTGTTTTATTTTACAAGATTGCTATGCAAATAGGCACACAAATAATTAATGAAGTTTACCTGCCATCCCCTCTGGTTGATTGCCCACCAGTTTCTACACCACAAATAAGTTTGCAAGAACTGTCTGCATGTAGCAGTAGTGGAGAGTCCAAAATGGAGAAAAGGAGTCATCTGGAAGGCATCTACAGCTCTTCTCCATAATGATTCCAGAATTTTATCCACTCCTGCTTTCAGATGCCCAAGACTGGATTCCATTTGGAATTTAGAGGATTGGGGATGGGAGGGGAGAGAGAAGCAGGGTCATAGTTTCTCCCTTGCACCTGCCTTTGGGGACAGCCAAGAGGTGAATACCTAGACCAGGACCTGACAGGACAGAAACCATATGAGGGTGCATTCAACAAATTTACTGTGTACTATGTAGAGAAAAAAAGGAATAAGAGGACATAATGCTTTCCCTCAAACTTACCATATATTTAGGGAGACAGAACATATGCATGAAACAAATAATTGTAAACAATGTGTACAATTTAATACAAGGCAAAGTACTTAGGTGGTGAAGAGGGGCACAGTCATGGAAATTAGTAACTCAAGACAAAACTCTGGATGTTTTGTTTCTATAAATGTTGAAAAACAATCAAAACTATTCAAATATCTCACGCATCATGATCTCTACGGGAGGCAGACATATTCTAATGATAAGAAAAGGTCCAAAGTGGAAAGAAACAACTGAGGGTTTTGCTAAGCAATGAATGTAAGCATAAATGACTGTTTACCTGCTTCAGTGCAGGTGAACATGGGACGAGTTCTCCAATTCGGTTGATTCCAGCATTAATTTTCTTCTTTCGATGCCTCTCCACTGAATAGAAGAAAAGTCATCACAGAACTAATGAAATGTCATATCTATTCCATATTTAGGTGCTATCTAACCTCTTTTCCTATCCAGAAAGATATTTCAAAGAAATAACTATTAAGACATGCTTATACTAGTCAAAGATTTACAAAGAGCTTTTCCCTCATAATGAGCCTATGAAACAGGTAGTACAAGTATGATTATCCCCATTTCTTTTTTTTGCCCATAAGGAAACAGGAGCTTTGAGAGGTTGATTAACAGAGTTGCCCAGAGTCACACAATTAGCATCAGAGTCAGGATGCAAACTCAGGTCTCTCAAGTTCAAGTCTAGTATTCTTACTACCCCACATAGAAAGCATTCTTGGTCAGGCACTAGTTGGCTTATGGAGCCTCTGAGAGCCCTTTAAACTCTTAAAGGGCCTGTGGTGTTTTAAGATCAATGTTGGATAAACAGAAATACAGCTACTCTTTTTTATGGGATCTTTAAGAAGCTCAAGCACATCAAGGCATAGTAGAAGATTGAAATGACAGACAAAAATTACAAAAAGAAAGAATGGCGATGTTTATATTCTACATTCATTAGTCCATTATTATGTGGCATTTTATTTCAAACTAACAATTACTAGACACTTTAACAAATGATGAATCTCAAGAGCCCATAACCAAAGTAAGATATCAGGAACTTGCATAGCTTTACCAAGGGACACAAACTCTAAACCATCTTAACTGTTAGCTGCTGTGCTAGACCTGACAACCTGGATAAAAGAGATATTTAAAAAGCTTTTCAAGGAGGCTAGACAGCTAGTTAGGTGGAGGAATGCTTATTGTACATGGCTTAAAACAACTAAACAATTTCTGCTTCTAGACTCGTCCCTTCTCTGTGAGGTCAGGGCTGCCTGCCCACTCTAGGCCTGCAGGATTCTCACAACTTCCATACAAAATTTTGTGGCCTGTTATTTCTATAACTGATTTGAGAAATCATCGTATGAGAATATAGCAAAATTGTGCTTTTGAAGGTTGCAAGGAAAGAGGAAAATATACAAGAAGCTACAACCATTTCCTAAATAACAGAAACACCGATTTTCTTTAATTGTATTAAAACTCAGAGAAGTAACTTCACAAATATCAGGTTTTTGTCAATACCTTTAACAAAATCCACCTCTTTAGTAATAATACTTCTAAGAGCACAGGTGTTGTGGGCATGGCTCTAAAGTCTGCCCTCTTGGGGCAGCTAGGTGGTGCAGTGTACAGAGCACTGGCCCTGGAGTCAGGAGAACCTGAGTTCAAATCCAGCCTAAGACATTCGAAACTTACTAGCTGTGTGACCTGAGCAAGTCACTTAACCCCACTGCCCAGCCCAAAAATAACTAACTAATAAATAAATAAAGTCTGCCCTCTCTTAGTTCAGGTTCAATGTAGGGATGAAAAGAGGTGTTCATGGAACAAAGGAGGTTTACTCTGTCACAGCAAGGATATACAGCCAGGACACTGAGATGTAACTTCTCTGGATGTGGTCCCCACCGTGTCCAGATAAACACATCTGGTCAGTACATCATCAGCATATGGCGACTCATGTGGTCTTGGGCAACCACCAAGTCTGACAGATCCCTTTTATGCCCCCAGGCCAGGAAGCTGCACCAGGGAATCAGGAACCAATCAGGCTACATGGGAGGAGGAAGTCAATGAAGTCAGTCAAGTCCAGGAACTCAGGGACACTGAGTCAAAAAAAACACTGGTCCTATCACAATGGGTAACTACACCTGTTTTATAGTGGATACTTTTGTTGCCTTCTGATCTATAGCTGAGAACATCATTTATTAGCGGGCCTCTGATTACTCCCCCATAATAGGCTGCTGTTAGAGTTAGGCAGCTCTGCCAGTAACCCCTCCAACTGGAATAAATTTACAAGGCTGGAAATAAAAGCAACACAGTATAAATGAAGCATCCCCTTGATTTTCCCCAAATTCCCTGGCAATGGATGCAGAGACGATATTTAGGAAAATGTTTTTGATAAAGGGATGAGGATAAGGACTGGACCTATGATCTGAAGGATACAGGGAACTCCCAATTGAGGAAAACTCCCTCCAATAATGTAGGCATCCAGCCCTGACCTCTCTCACCTTCCAATCTCACATCTCCAACTGCCTACTGGACATTCTGAACTAGACATCTAGTAGGCTTCTTAAACTCAACTGTTAAAAACTGAGCTCATTATCTTTCCCCCAAAACCCTCCCTTCTTCCAAACTTCCCTATTACTGTCAAGGGCACCACCATGCTCCTAGTCATGTAGACTCACAACCTGGATTGTGAATTCTCTCTTCATAGCACTCCCTCTTCTCCTCTGATGCTGCTACCACATTGGCTTAGGAACTCATCATCTCAGGCCTAGGGCTACCAAAATAGCCTGCTGGCTGGTCTCCTCACTTCAAGTCTATTTCCATTTCACTCCATCCTCCACTCAGCTGTGGTCTGCCAAGTTGATGAAGCAGCTAAGTAGCACAGTGAACAAAGTGAAAGAGGGAGGCAGACCTGACTTCAAATCTGACCTCAGATACTTACTAGTTATGTGACCCTGGGCAAGTCACTTAACCTGTTTGCCTCATTTTCCTCAATTGTAAAATGAGGATAATAACAGGACCTATGTCCCAGGGCTGTAGTGAGGATCAAATGAAATAACATCTGTAAATTGCTTAGCACAGTGCCTGGTACCTAGTAGATGCTATAGTTTCCAGGGATGTCGACGTAGATGATGAAGTTGACACAAGCATTTCCAGAGCCAGCTCAGTGTGAGAGGCTCCAAAAGAAAGTGTGGGAAAGAAGAAATATCAGGCTGCCTACCAAACTGAAGGTCTACAGAGCCACGGTGCTGACCTCATTGTTGTACGCCTATGAAACCCGGACAGTATAACAGCACCACGCCAGACAATGAACTGCTTCCATTTGAATTGTTTTAAGAAGATTCTGAAAATCACCCGGCAAAATAATGTACTGGACACTGAGGTCCTCTCTCGAGGTGAACTGCCAAGCATTCAAACTTTACCGCAGAGAGCACGCCTAGGGTGAACTGGGCACACAGCCCGAATACCAAATGTATATTTACCTAAGAGACTATTTAACAGAAAACTTGCACAAGGCAAGCACTTACACAGAGGTCAGAAGAAATGATGCAAGGACACTCTCAAGGTCTCTCTGAAGAATCTTAGAATCAATTGTGAGACATGGGAGACACTGGCACAGGACTGTTCAGCATACCATACCCACATAAAAGAAAGTGCTGTGCTCTATGAGCAAAGCAGAATCACAGTAGGACCAAGGAAACATAAGATGCGCAAATCTAGAGACATCTCCAAAAGGACTATCTGTGCCCACCCTGTGGTACAGCCTTCTGAGCTCATACTGGACTGTTTCAAGCACAGTCTGACACACTCCATGCTGCCCCCAACGTCAGGATGTCATTGGTCCTCTTTGAGTACAAAGGATCAACAACAACAACAGGTGCTACAGAAATGTTTTTTCCTCTTCCTAAAGTACAGGTCTGCTCCTACTTAATAGGTTCCAGAAGTTCCTTAGGACCTCTAGGATCAAACATAAAATCCTCTGTTTTTAGTGTTCATGTATCCTGTTATCTATGTTGTTCGTATATAGTTGTTTTAAGGTTACTTCCCCCATTACAGGCAGGGACTACTGTTTCCCTTTCTTTGCAAGGCCAGTGCCATCCCTGCTGGCTGACTGACTGGAGAGCTGCCTGAGGCGCTGAGAAGTTAAGTGACTTATTCTAAGTCACAGAACCAGGACAGCAGGACTTAGACCCAGGTTTTCAGGTTTCAAGGCTGGCTTTCTATCTATCACAGATTGTTTTTCTTTGGGAGAAATGAAGGAAAAAATGAGAAATGTTGATTGCTCTCCCCACCCCCTAGTTCCAGACACAGCTTTTAAAAAAAGCAAAACAGAGCATACAATTTAAATCCAAAGGCTTTAACACTAAAGATATTTTTCTGCCTGGAGAGTAGTAATCTCCTCCTGGGCCAGTCACACATTTCCCTGCATCAGCAGGGAAACAGATCAGGTTTTTCCAGGGTCTTCAGTGGAATGATGAGGGCACCTATAGGAAAAGAAAGCTTCTCCTGGCTCTATACCTTGATGTAAATAAAAAGTTACTCAGCTCGAAGCATTATAAGTATATGCACAAATAACTCCTGTGCTTCTTACACTGTCTTTCAGTATGGTCAAACTCCACATGAAAAATACATTAAAATTACCTAATATAAATAAAAATCTGAGGGTTTTTTCCCTCCTGGTAACTGATAAACTCAGAATTCTCCATTCAAGATCTGAAAGAACCCCTGTGACACACATTTTGCAAACCTCCTTTTTCTCCTCATACATACATGCCTTTCAATTACTTTGGGATTTTCTTAATTAATGTTATTCATCTAAGTCATTGGAAATGATGGATTCTGGGGCTTCACTACCTTTGGATTTCAGTATTTAAAGCAACAGTGAGTCAGAAACAGATTAAGCAAAGTCTTTTTTCTTCCTTGACACTTTGGAGTCCTTCATAAAAATTAAATACTGCAAAGGGACTTCTTATAATAACTTTATTATTATAAAGGGGCTTATTATAGGTCCCTTATAATAAATGAATATAGCAAAACTGTACTTTTCCATGACTAAATGAATAATTCTTCTAGGTTTCCAAAGTCAGTAACTTGATTCTGAGTGTGAGAATGCCAAATATAAAAGTTAAACTCTTATATTCTTACCTGCATTGTGTGTCTCCCGGTTTTTCTTTCTGTAACAAAAGGTATAAAATAGGCTGCATAAAAATAATAATCAAAGATTTTTAGCAAATCATATAAATGAACATCTGATCTGGTAAGTAAGGAAGAAATCAAAATGAAGATAAATTTCCCTAGCAAGTACTGTGGTCTGGAAACTCCCAATTGTAGATATTTCAATGTGAATTAGAAGCCACAATGGTGGGCACAGGGGGCGGGGAGGAAGAAGGGAAGAGTCACACCCATAAAATTCTTTATTCTTATGTCTCAAGAATTCACAGGAAGCAAAAGCCTAATTGAGGAATTAGTCATAAATTCACAATGCCCGTTCTTCTAGTGAGCATTAGGCAAGAATGAATGTGTTCATGTGTGTATAAGCATCTAGCCTTTTGGGTGGCTGAGGTGGCAGGGGGATGAGAAAGGAGAAGAATGTGACAAGCACAGGTGAGAGAAGCACAACAGCAATGCTCAGTTTATATGTCATTCATCAAAGATCCTTGTGCCACCCCAACATGAATGTCACAAGTTGTCATTCTGGATCTGAAGCCAAATAATTTAAGGACTGGATTCCTCCTTTTGCTATACAATACCTACTACATGAATACATATCTTGCTAGTTGATCAAAAAAGAGAAAAGTGTTAATGACAGCACCTGCATCTTAATTCTAGGCAGAAAAATGGCACAAGAAGCTCAAAACCAAGAAGGGTCTAAGAAAAATATTTGTTCATATTCCAAGAAGCAAAAACTGGCTGCAATATGATAAAATATCTATATAAGGCATTCAGATCAGCACATATTGCCTAATACCTAAAAAGAAATCAGAAAGTCAAGCAGAGCCTGTTTTATGCACAAGTAAAGATTTAAATAAAATTTAAATAGAAGATACAGTACTGTTATACTGATGCCCACTATCATTTGATACAAAGACAAAGCTATGAATAAGAATAAAGTGAGTAAAAATGTAGCCATTTATCCGTTTCTGTTATTCCATTTGTGTTCATAAAAATTCCCCAAAAAAAAATTTGATGGTTTTCATGTCATCAAAATGAACAGGTTTCATGTTTTAAAAATCAACATCTATACATGAGAATTGTAAAATAGCAGCTAAATTTACACTTCCCCTAAACTGGACTCTCTTGCTTCTCTCTCCCAAATGATCTCATCTCATGCTAAGGGTTCAATTATCACTTACATGTGCATGACTATCAAATCGACAGATCAACTACAATCTCCCTCTCAAATCCTAGTCCTGGATTACCAACTGCTTTCTGAACATCTCAATACTTTCTCTCCTTTACCCCCCATACCCAATATTGTCGAGTGCTGTTGGTTCTACGATCATCACACTTCCCCTAATTGTCTACTTTTCTTCACTCACACCGACACCTCTCTAAGTTAGGCTCTTTGACTCCTTTTCCTGGGCCTGCTCAAGTTGTTTATGTGCTCAAAAACCGTCAGTGGCTCCCTATTTCTTTTAAGATCAAATACAAACTCTCCTGTTTGACTTTTCAGGCTCTCTACAATGTAGTTCCAACTTGCTTTTTTGCCCTTATTTTACATTACATCATTTCACAAATCTACATTCCAGTCAAGCGGGACTACTATATGTTCCCTGAACTAGACCTTCCTTCCATTTCCCTTCCCTGTATATTTGCACAAGCTGTCTCCCATGCTGGGAATGTGCTCCCTCCTAATCTCTACCTCTCTGAATCCTTATCTTTATTCAAGGTTTAGTTCAGGTGCAACCTGCTCTATGAAGCTTTCTCTATCACATCTAAATGTTAGTATTCTCTATTATTTAACATTATTCTCCGTTATTTAATATTTATTTATTTTTGTATACATTATAAACCACCTAATAAAATGTAAGCTCCTTGAGTATGAAGACGGTCTTGTTTTTGTCTTTTGTCACCAGCACCTAGCATAGGTACGTATGCTTTATAAAGTAAATTAAATTAATTAAATAAATGTTTGTCAAACACCTCCCACCTCTTGATAGGGATGGGAGGGATGAGAGGAACTATGGAGACAGAATGTGGTATACACTGTCAGATATAATTACTTTTGTCAGTTGGCTTTGCTTAAATATTTTTCTTTGTTACAAGCAAGAGTTCAACAGCCCAGGGGAGGAAGAAACTAAGGAAAAATGAGTAGAATATAAACAAATGATAAGAATAAAAAAGAATCTGAAAATAAAAATAACATAAATGCTTGCTGAAAAGAACAAAATTGCTAGCCTAACTAGTCAGTATGTTGTCTCTGCACTAGTTCCTTACCGGTGCTGCTTCTTTGTAGGAGTTTCATTTTCTGTCATCTCTGGCATGGTTATAGAGTGGAGGACCTGGAAGGATACGAAAAGATATACTGTCAATTAAAAATTATACAGAAATTCAAAACACAGAAAACTGACTTGAATTGGAATAGCAGTGTTTACTGCATGTCTATTCTGGGAGAGGAACTATGCCAAGTGCTTCAAATACAGTCATAAGGCAATTCTTCAAGGAACTTATGGCTTAGTTGGAAAAAGAGGATATAAACAGAAAAATACAAGGTAGCATATGCTAAGTGTGAAATGAAGAGTAAAGGAAACAAGTACTAGAAGAGTTCAGAAGCAGAGATTTCTATGGGATAGATCAGCTGAATAAAGCTTCATAGAGAGGATGAAACAGCCTTGAAAGACAAGCTGGTTTAGATATGAGAGAACGAGAGGAGAAACAGAGAGAGAGAGAGAGAGAGAGACAGAGAGAGAGAAAGGAGAAAGCATTACATTCCTTGTAACATTCTTTCTCCTCGGTACTACACAAGTTAAAATGGCAGTCCCCTTTCTATCACTGTTTTACAGTTTAAATTTTCAAATGTTCAATAAAATATAAATTAAAAAAAACTTTTCTATGTTTTCTCTGTAAGACATTTCAAGTTCTGGCTTAGATTTGTAGGATAATAGAAGAATAAAATAAAGATGTATTTAAAGGAGGAAAATCGTCCTAAGAGTAAAAAATGACTGAGGTCCACTCCCCCACTTCCAAAATAAAGTATCATTATGTCCTACAGGAATTCAGAGAAGGGAGAAATCTCCCAGAGCTTGGACACTTGAAGAAAGCTTGAAGAAGGTGAAACCTGAATTGAGCCCTGCCTGAAGGTTAGAGCAGCTAGGTGGCAGAGTGGATAGAGTGCCCAGGCCTGGAGTCAGGAAGACTCATCTTCCTGAGTTCAAATCTGTCCTCAGACACCTACTAGTTATGTAACCATGGGCAAGTCACTTAACCCTGTTTGCCTCAGTTTCTTCATCTGTACAGTGAGCTGGAGAAGGAAATGGCATTCCAGTATCTTTGTCAAGAAAACCCCAAATGGGGCCATGAAGTATTGGACACAACTGAAAACGACTGAACAACAACGTTAAATAGGTAAACGAGTCCCAGGAAGAAGGATGTGCTCAAGAACCACTTCCATAAGCTTGTTACAACTCCAGCCAGAAACTCGTGAAGATATTAATCACCTAAAAACAAGGCACTGGTAAAAAACCCAAGAATCATAATGCCTGGTATTTAAGGATACTTGATCACCTTTCTCATCCAAAGGCTCACAGAATTTCTTCACTTTGGATTCCTGGTTTCCAACTTCTTACTTCTGTTTCTGATCCATATGTATCATCTTCTGCCAGGAGACTGTCTATATAATATAATTTCTTCTTACTATCAAGAGAAAAAATAAAAGGATATTTACAGTTCCTGGCTCTCTGACAGAAAAACATAGGATAAGGGTCTGTATACATGTGCCAAGAGGGCCTGCAGGCTGCCATGGCCTCTTCCTTACTGCCTGGGAGACAATACTGCCCTTTGAGTAATACCATCCCTCTTCAGAAACAAGGTCAAAGTTCTCCCTGGGTGCTTATCCTAAGAAAGAGGTCTTTGGTATCCTCTCATAATATCTTTTCCATTATCCTTTCCTGAAAGGCATTCTCTCCTCTCCTTAGGTACCTAGTATCCTCAAGACTTCCTAATCCAATAAACAACTAAAACTATTTTGTCAATGAAAATAAATTCAGGTGAAATGGCTGGAAGAAAAAAACCAGAGTTAAACAAATTACATACTGTTCACAGTGAGGTTTCTTGAGGACAGGTTCACATCTTTTTTTATTTTTGCCTTGAAGGGAGCTAACATACCTAGCACAGCACACACAATGTACAGAGCAGGTACTAAATAAAGGGCTGTTAAATCACTAAATGAAAGTCTTCCTCAGAAACATCTGAATTTTAAAAGGTCTCTTGCAAACTCAAACAATTCTCAAATCGGTGGGATGTCAAACAGTGTGACAATGTGAAAAGGAGAATTATACGCAGAATAGGCTGGGAGACCTTCCAAAGACCCCCTCCCCCAAATCATACTACTCTGTTTAGGGCTAAAGCTGGACTTTCTACCTTACCACCCTACCCCCATTTCCCAACAACAGTCAGCACATATTCTCCTATACTTTCTGAGTACTGATATCTGTTCACTGATAACCTCCCCAGCAAACTACAAGAAAAGGAGTCAGAATCTTCATACGTCAGCTGTGAAAGACTGACAAATTTCAATAAGGATGCTACAATTATGACAGGAAAAGGCCCAAGTTCTAGCTTCTGTAAAATTACAAAGTTAAACTAGATAGTTGAAGGTCCCTACAGGGAAATCGGGCATATATACTCACTAAACACAAGAAACAGGCAAAGGGGTTGAGCTTTGTAAACCTTAAAGTACTTAAATAAGTGTGACCTACCTACTATATCATTAACCAAACACTCAGTCTTGAATACAGGTAAGACTGCATTTTAACCAATACTATTTAACCTCCAGTTTAGTTCAATGAGGTAAAGACAAAATGATAAACCATAGAGTATACCTCATCCTACAGAATACTTTGATATTTCAATTGATCTGTGATCATACTTGCATAGACATTACTTTCAAAATACAGCTCTTGGGGTAGCTAGGTGGTACAATGGATAGAGCTCTGGCCTTGCAGTCAGGAGGACCTGAGTTCAAATCCCACCTCAGGTACTTGACACTTACTAGCTGTGTGATCCTGGGCAAGCCACTTAACCCCAATTGCCTCACCAAAAAAGCAAAAAAAACCCCAAAATACAGCTCTTAACTCATTCATCAAAATTCATCCAAAGGACTCTGACCCATGATACCCTCTATATCCATCACTGAGATCCCATCCAATGAACTGGGAGCCTTCCTCTAGGTCTTTTGGCAATATATGCACACCAAACTATTATCTTGTTCTTGCTACATGACCAGCCAGCCTTTCCTGGTTACAGATCCTCTTCATGCAATTTTTATGCTACTTCTTGTGAGCAATTCTCCATTGGTAACATACTGCTGCCTACTTAGGTTCACCATGTATATCCCAATTACCCTGAATACCATATTATGGTATTCAATGGTTCAAAACCATGTAAAAAATGCTTCTTGATATAGCATCACCAAGAATATTGGTGCAGAAAAGATGGCTCTTTGTTTTAGAAAGAGCCTTATGGCCATTAAAAGTACTATACGTTAAAAGCAATTCAATCCATTTTCTAGCTCCTATTCAATTCTCAGTCCACTTTACTCTTCTTCTGCAGCATCTGTTCAAGAGCTACATATTGATGGACCAGCCCCATGGGTTACGTGTCATAGTCTAGACAACAGGGATTCTCCACCCAATTTTTTTTTCCTGTGAAGACAATTAAGCCAAACTCTTCTGAGTGCTAATTTGCTATCGCATACCTCGGTCAAGTTTGTTTCTCTTAAGCAGAATTCTAGTGCTTGGTTTTGGTGCTTTTTTGTATTTTCTCATTGTCCACTAAGAACTGGTAAGAGAGCATTATCTGGAGAACTGCACTGTGAATAATTGTTAACTAAATGCTGTGCTGGTGTACATAAGTGGGGAGAGGAAGATTTTTAATTACCAAAAGATTCTTTCCTTTACAAAAAGAATTCATTTAGTTGATCTGTGAAGTATCTAAATACAGATCATTACTACTTGAAAATCATCTGGGGATGTGGAAGACTGAGATTTAGAGTGTAAAAAATCTGAACTTGGGAGGGACTGAGAGTGTATAAAATCCAAGAGTTCTTTACCTGAGGTCCACGGACCCCCTCGAAGTCTATGGACAGCTTTCAGGGAGGTCCATGAACTTGGATGGGAAAAAATTACATTTATTTTCATCAACCTTTGGTTTCCTTTGTAATCCTATGTATTTTATTTTATGCACTTAAAAACACTATGCAGAGGAGTTCATGAGCTTCACCAGACTGTCAAAGGGATCCATGACACAAAAAACGGTTAAGAACCCCTGGTCTAGACCTCATTTTACAGATGAGCAAACTGAAATCCAAAGATGGAAAGTATTTGCCTAAGGTCAAGAAGACAATGAACTCCTCTACTCTTATGGTACTTTGGTTTGAATGTGTGAGAACTATTCCTTTCCAAGACTTTCCTAAGGATCGCTGCTTTGTTATCTGCACTTAAGGAATAACTAGGCCCTGCTTCTAAATGTGAAGAACAAAAGCTGCAGCATCTTCTGCCTGGAGACATATATGTTACAAGAACAATACAGATATAAACTTGGAAGACCTTTAAAATCATGGGTGCAGTTCTAGGTTCACTCTACCTCTCACCAGTCACGTGGCCTTGAGCAAATCATTTCCCCTCTTGGCACCTCCATTTCCTCATTTATAAAGCAAGGAAGTTGTACCAGATGGTCTTGAACGTCCCTTCCAACTTCAATGGTTTGTGATTCGATGACTTTAAAAAACTAACCTGAATGCCCTTAACTGCAAGTATTTTATATCCTGCTAATTTTATTTTACATCATTTTTCCATAGCTTAAGGATTATGTGTAATTTCTAATTTGGTGTTTATAATGATTGTTTTTTGAGACATTTTAAATTTTCACAATTATTGGCAATAACTTTATAAAAGAGTTGATGTTACTTTAGGTTACACGCATCTAACCAGTTTTCTGTATTTGCTACTTCTTCATGAATAAACTTTGATGTATTACTTACAACATCACTAATGTGAAAATATGTTTAATAGGAATGTATATGTACAGCCTATATCAGATTGTGTGCCATCTTGGGAAGGGTGGTGGGGAAGAAGGAGGAGAAAAATTTTAAACTCAAAAGCATATGGAAGTGATTGTTGATAAATCAAAATAAATTAATAAAAAAAAGAAAAACAAAATAAACTTTGATGTACTACCAATCCTCCCAAAATCAATGTATCAATCAAGCATTTAATAAGGCCAAGTATGATCTGGTTTTGTGATAGGCACAAAAATTAAACAGTCCCTCACCTCAAGATGTTTATATTCTATTGAGGAAAACAACATGTACACATATGAGTAGATATGAAACACGTACAAAGTCGATGACAATGTAAATTCAAGGTACTACTGATCAGGAAAGATCTGACCCAGAACCTTCAAGTATTTTTTTTTTCATCTCCTTAACCTCCCACACTCAGACCATCATCAAGTGCTGACACTAATTTCTCTGTAACATTTTTCAGGTCAGCTCTATTTCCAAAACCATAAACTAATCCATAACTTTCCTTGATCAAGTGGATACTGAAATAACATCATAACTAAACTCAAACTTCTGGTCTAAGTCCTATTCAATTGCAAATACGCCACTGCTTCATAGCTGACTTCCAGTCTATCCCACCTTCAATTTATCTTACACTCAGAAAATCATTTTGCTCAAAACATCATTCTGATCATATCACTGCTTCTCAAAATCTCCCAAATCTAATTAAAACTCTTAATTCTTGGTTTCAAGCCTCTTTACCACCTGGCTTCCCTTTTCCTTATGCCCTCCAGTTTCTACTACAGTCCAGTATATACTCTGTACAATTACCACAAATAATTTGCCTGATCTCCCCTTGTGAGATTTTGGTCACTTGGTCATTCCTCTTTCATTTAAAATTCCCTCCCTGATTTTCATTCTGACAAATCAAATCCCTCTGCTTCTGCAAAACACTAATCAAAAGTTCCCTTTCTATGAAACCATCACTCTATTTGGCTTATCACAATCACCTGGGCAACCCTAATGCTTCTGGATAGTTGTACTTGATTATATGTATACAACCTAAGTAGTATTTCTCACTATAAAGCCATTCTTTAAGTCGTAGCCAGAACATTGTCACAAATGAGTCCATGATGTAAAAAAAGGTCCTTTCATTACACCATTTAGCACAGAGTTGAGCCGTAATACAACTGGAGAAATAGAACTTAACTAAATCTGTAATTCTCTCTGTTTCCAAATCTGCATTACAACTCTTTCAAATTAGAAAACTATAACTATTCAAATAACATTAGATTTTACAAATTTTTGCCCCTAGTAAGAGTTTTTTATTCGTGGAAATAACTGCACAGAGTGTCACATATGTACATATATGAAAATATATATGTGTATGTATATAGCTATATGATCCCCCTACAGAACAAGAAATAAAAACTAGATCTGTGATGTTGATGGGTGTAAGAACCTTTTTAAGATACTATGAATTTTAGGTGGAGCTAGGTAGGGCAGTGGCTAGAGCACCAGCCCTGGAGTCAGGAGTACCTGAGTTCAAATCTGGCCTGAGACACTTGACATTTACTAGCTGTGTGGCCCTGGGCAATCACTTAACCCCGATTGCCTTGCCAAAGAAGGAAAG